AAAAGTCACTCCTTCCTTAAGTCACTTTACCACCAGCTGGAAAATTGTTTTATTAACAGACCAAATCTACAGTCAACACAAAGGTGCTTGGGGCCACCCAGACTTGGACAATGCAAAACTTGCACATCGCCAGCTTTACTGACAGGAGGGTGGAAACCAAATTTTACTCTCAACACTTTTGGTAAATTTAAAATACCACTTCTCATCTTTGGGACTCGTTTTCCTCACCTGAAAAAGGTTGGATTAGATCATCTCTTAAAGTGATGTTCTGAGCAACTATGAGTTGGCTTTCTAGCATACGGAACATTTCACTATTTAAGGCAGCCTGCTCTGGTCTGGTTTTCAGATTGTTCATGCCTTGACTTACTTCAAGTTTCTTTCAGAATCAAACTTCCTCCAACCCCTATCTTCCCAGGTCCGGAAAATCTCTCCTTTGAAAAATAAATGTTCTTTAAAAATAAAAAAAAAAACAAAGTAAAACAAAAAACACACAGAGGTCATGGGGCCTGGGCGTTTCCCACAGCAGAAATGCTGCTCTGGGGTTGGTGTCCCCTGGTTGCAGTTGCTGAGGCCACCGCAGCCAGAGGGCAAGCCCCGCGCCCTCCCCGGAGGCAAGCCCCGGGCCTGCACTGGGTGGATTGGTCCAAGAGAGGTGACTCTGAAAGTTGTTATCCACGGAGGGGCGTTTTGTTGCAGTCCTTCCCTGGCAAGACTGTTCCTCCCGTTGCAGGATACTCGGTATCCTTGGCCCTCACTCACTAAATGCCACAAACAACCCCCCTAACCATTGTGACGACCAGAAGCACCTCCCCTGCCCCGTTTCCAAACTCCCCCTTTAGAAGCAGCACCACTTCTGGTTGAGAAACCATTTTAGCATCAAGTTGAACACTGGCCTGGAAATTTGCTTCTGAAACTGCCACGATGTCTTTGCCAGAAGCCACAAAGGCCAGGAATAAACCTCTTTAAAAGGAGAGTGGGAAAGAGTATACAGTAATTAAAAGAGTGCATTGCTCATGGTTTCTCCGAAAATCTGGGCTCCTTGTCTCCATAATTAACTGGGGAACCTGAAATGTAAACAAATTTCTGAAGGTCACTCATTAAATAATAGGCTGTGTCAACTGTACAAATGAAATCCTTGAGGAGCTCAGCAACTTAGTGTACTTATAGTGGGCATCATAGTGATATTGATATAGCTGTCAATTATTGATCGCTTGCAACGTCCCAGCACTTTACAAATCTCGTTTATCCTTTCCATGACTATATGAAAGTGAGCATCATCTCCCCTTACACAGATTAGAAAACTGATGCTTAGCAAACTGAGGTAGGTTGACCCAGCTCTCACAGCTAAGGCAGTGACAGAGCTAGGGTTCAAACTGAAGTCCGCGAGACTGGAAAACTCAGGCTCACCGTCTTGGCCAACAGCTGGGGTGTTTTATCATCTGGCCTTACTTTCAAGTAGTGGGAAAGTTAACTGAAATCCCTAACTTATGAACCAGGCTTTTGGTAGTGACACTAAAAACAATTATTTTGCACTGTGTTCTGCCAGAGATGTTATTTTTCATTATTGCTAGGACTGCTCTCAGCAGGGTCATCTCATTAGCTGAAGAAAATGTCCCCTGTTGTTCTTGAGAGACGGATCAGATGGAGAAGCGTAAAAACAAACTCTAGAAAGTGATTCTGTGTTCCCCTTGTTTAGGGAATGGAACAGTAATCCCCATCTTTTCTGATTCCCAGCCTCCTAAGTGATGTTTTAATTGTGTAGTTGCAAAAGTGTTTTGAGAGGATGGGAAAAGTTTTACAGAGTTGTCTCCAAAACTTTTTATCAGTGTTTTCATAACAGACTAAATTGGATTGTTGAACTATTGATGAATATACTTAGTACCGGTCTGTTTTCAATTTTCCCCCACGTAGGAAAATAACAGTCTGGCTAGATTGGTGCTAATTGGCAGTGAGGAATAACTAATTGTGAGATTTTTATTTCTGCATTTTTATTTCATTTTAGAACAACCTCAAATGCAAACACTTCATCAAATATATTGTTCCACCTATGATAGACATCTCCCAAGCGACGTGTGTAGAAACCATCCACGAAATCCTGTCACTTTGCTCTCCATTATCTACAGAGAAATCAAAGTGATCTTTCCAAAATTACATTCGATCACAGGATTTGCATTTCATTTAGAATAAAATTGAAATGCCTCATCATGGAGCACCAGGCCTACATGATCTGGCTGCTGCTCAGCCATCAGCCTATAGCCTCCCTTTTTCCTCTCACTCACCACCCTCCAAACACTCTGGGGTTTTTTGCTGTTGTTTGGTTGGTTTTCTTTTTTTGTGAGGAAGATTGGCCCTGAGCTAACATCTGTTGCCAATCTTCCTCTTTTTGCTTGAAGAAGATTGTCACTGAGCTAACATCTGTGCCAATCTTCCTCTATTCTATATGGGATGCCGCCACAGCATGGCTTGATGAGTGGTGCTAGGTTGGCGTCCAGGATCTGAACCTATGAACCCCGGGCTGCCCAAGCAGAGTGCGAACTTAATCACTATGCCATTGGGCCAGCCCCAAACACTCCGTTTTTGTTTTGCATTTACTCTCCCTCTTCAGGGAACATTGTTACCTCCTGATCTTTACTTGACTGATTCTTTCTCATCATTCAAACTTAAGCTCAAATTTCATTTCAACAGAAACTTCTTCCTCGATTCCCTAAGTTGGTCATCCTTATATCTCCAATCACATTATATTCTTTTGTTTGATTTTCTAAAAAGTTTATTTTCTAAACTTTTTCAACATTTGAAATGATCTTTATTATTATTTTGTGTACTTGTTTATCTTCTGTTAAACTAGAATGAAAGCAGGAACTTTTCCTATCTTGTTTGTCATTGACCCTATGAGTAGAATAGAAACCTGCATACAAGGTTCAAGACTATTTGGTAAATGAATGGATGGATTCCAGTCCTGTGCCTGGAATGAAGTGTAAGTCTCAGATAAATTCCATAAGGCACAAAAATATTTACTGAGTGGTATAGATGTACATAAATATGGGAAAGTTGAGATTGAAATCAAAATTACAAAGTTCCTTTTTGTTATTCCTCGGTCTGCCTGTCAAGAACAGGGATTCTGTTGAGAAGTAGGGATGGAAGCCAAGGAAAACCCAGAACGGCTTCACAGGAAGACATTTCAGACCATGTTCTACTTCTCAGAAGATAGGCGTCCCCTGTTAGAAGACACGGCTCCTCTGCTTACTCCAGCAGGCTCAAGCGGAGTTTCATCAAAATTTTCAGGGTGAACATCAGACCATCCCCAAATATTCTATGTTACCTACCTTCTAGACCTCCTCACCTGCAAAAAAGAAATCCTTTCACATCCCTCTACTTAACGTCATCCCTACCAAAATTATGGCGTCAGTTATCTGGTCTCCTCTGCAGCAGTGAACTTGTTTTGCCTTAAGTCTTTGAGTTTTAAGAATAAATAACCTTTTCTCTAGGGCCTGTATATGTCCCAGATGTCCTTTTATTGAGTTCACAGAATGCAAATAGAAAAAGGTTATTACCAGACAGAAGTGTTTAAAAATGAAAATCAAACCTAATACATGGACTCAGACAACTGGAATAAGGAATATAATATTTATAAAACTGAGCAGGAGGTTGCAATCATTGCTCTAAAATAAAGCATTAAAAATTAATTCAGAGCAAACCTGTCTGTGCTACAGCAAACCTTGCTTTCATTAAGGTAGCGCTGTGTGTTCCTCCAGAATTATTTCCTCAAAATAGGGAAAGAGCTTGTAAGAACGGAGTGTTCTGCAAACTACAAAAGATCTACCTGAGGCACTATTTAGAGTTACCTTTAATACTAAAGCATTACACACCTTTAATTTTGAACCAATTAATTGTGATTCTTGCAGTTTCTCTACATTTCTGCCCTTGAGTACTAGGAAAGTTTAATTCACATGCTTCTTATTCATCTTGATTTGATTAATCCAAATGGCACTGTATCATTTGATTCATTCATATGTTGCAGAATATTAAATATTAGGAAACTGTGGGTGCCAGTTACAAGTTATACTTTAAAACTTTTGTAGATTTTCCATTTCAAAAAGTTTATGTTCCACATTTTTCCAATGTTTCTTCCCAATCTTCTGCTTCACATTATTATTGTTATCATTAGTTATCATCATCATCATCATCATCATGTTGTTTCCTACTGTGGAATATAATAAAAAGAAAGACAAGTAAAACTGCTACTGTGATTTCTGCATGTACTGTTGAGGTGAGGTTTTTATTTTCCCCAATTTACACCATTCCTCTGAAGACCTAAAATAAATAACCTTATAACCCCTGGGCCCTATTGATTTTTGAATGATTTCAAATAAAAAGCATCCAGTTCCCATTGCATTGACAAACTGCCCAGCCCCTGGGTAATCCTATTGGATTCCTATTAAATGGGGGGGGCGAGAAACAACAGTGGATTCAAGATGGAGGGGGAGAGGTGGTCCGGCTCGGCTCAGTAAATGGGTCTTTAACCTTTGACCAAGGATGACAGGTCTATCTTTAGTTCTGTTAGACCAAGAGCAAGCTGTTATGATTAAATAAAAAAGAAAAAAACTGGTGAGAGCCTTTCTGAATATGTCCTGGGAATTAAAGCATATGGCAGGGATAAGGAAAAAAGATTTTCCTTATGCTAATGACCCTTGATGTCTGAAATAAATTAGATCCATTAGAGTTTATGCTCAATAAAAGAAAGACTTTAAGCACTCCAAAGTTAGTGACTCGAGACCAGTTTTTGCTCTGAAATTCAATCTGCCTACTTATTAATTCTTAGTGAGGCTCCAGAGCAGACAGGAGATGCAAAATCATAATTCTGTACTGAACCAGAATTTTAAAGGACCACAGGTTTCTTTTCCTTTTCTTTTAATTAAACCATTTTTCATGCTTCTCATTTTGTTTCCCTCATTAATTTGATTTTGTTCCCATTTTTGTTTCATTTTTTGTTTCTTTTCAAGGTTTCATTTATCCTATTTCAACTGAACAGAGAACCCAGAATGAATATGGATTTTCTTGTAAGTTTGATGTTTGGTCTTTATGTTGCTGAATAATCCTTTAATACTATTGCCCCCAGTTCAAGTTTACCTTTCTTTGGATCACAGATGTGCACACAGGAAATAGGCGCCTAATATATTCTAACATGAAAGACAAATTAGATTTTCACTGCTGAAGAGAAGAAAGGGTCATTTCAAGTCTCTGCCAGCTTTACAATCTATCAGTCTACCATTCCTTTCTTCAGTCCCAGTGGCTGACAAACATATCATGAAATATGCTGATGTAAATAAAGGGCAGGATTCAGATGCTAAAAAGTAAAGGGTTGAGGAAATGCAGATCTGTTGAGTTAGAAATCATAAATGTTGAATAAGTAATTACAGCTTGGTAAAGGAGAACATTAAGGGTTTAGATATAATATTCTGACCCAAGTTCAGAATGTGCTGCAGGGTCTCAAATAAACCCAGCAGAAGTGAAATCAGCACTTGGAAGTGGTGTGCACACAACCAAGAGTGTTTGGGATGCCACTGGTTTTCTGGAAAGATTTGTCAGTATTGACTTGATTGATGGGGAAGTGGAGATTCTGGAAACTTTGGGAAATACAGTAGTTAAAAAGAAAAAAAAAAACACCTTTTCACGTTTAAACACAAGATGTTAAAAGAGATGGAGTGATTTCCAATAGGAAATTCCTTTCTACTGCCAGGGAGTCACATACCACGATGTGAGGATGTCGATGAGCACGTGAGCCACTGGCAGTCTAAATGACCAGTCATTTCTAATAGAAACCACGTGGCTGTGAGTCTTAGGAGAGAGTGGTGGTCCCTCAACTTTCAGGAGATTGTGGGACCTACAAATTTGAAAATTCTGTCCTCCCAAAATGTAAATGTAAATAAAATTGAGCATAAAAAGGCCGTTCTTGACCACCTGAAATGCCAGTTGAATCATCTCTTTTACAGTGAACCGAGCCGCTTCAGTTAACTTTGCTCAAAATTTTTGTGGGTCACAGAAAACTAAAAATGGAGACTTAAAGCTGGCCGTGGGATTGAGGACAGATTTAATTTTGTTTGTTTTATTTTAATTGTCAGCTCTTGTCACTTTTTGCAGTTGGATCAGAGCATATTCTATGCCACCAAGGCAACATGCAACATTTATGGGAATTTTCTTCTTACTTTACCAAGAAACCATCTCCCAAATGACCACACACTGTGTTGGTCAAATGCTTAATTGCCTTCTGGGGCAGTCTGGCCTTCCTGGACCAGAGCTTTATCTTACTCAGTGCACCAGGGAGCTATATTCCATTCCAGGAATGAGTAGCTCAAATGTGAATCTCTGACAAGAGACCACGAGAAGCTCAGGGTTCTCAGAGGTAACATGAAATCTGTATCAGCCTAGAGTTATCGGCATTGACCTCTGCTCCCCAGATCTGGGTCTTCTGAAAGCACCTTTCAAATCCAGCATGTTCACTCCTAATATCTGCTATGCTTAGTTCTACCCTTCCCACCCACCACGTCACTGCTTCAGGGGAAAGTGAGGGCAGTGCTGTGGAAAGTAATCTCATGGCTGGGAATTATACTTAGAAACTACTCTGGTCCAATAAATATACAGATTCAGAAGATGCCAGGTATTTCTAACAGAGTGTTTATATTTATGTTTTGAAAGAACTATCAGCAAATTCAAAGCCTCCTTCCAAACTTTTCCACCTGAAATTCATAATAAACATTTTTTCCCTGTGGGTTGGGATGGTTTTAGCTCCAGTTTCTCTTTATGCCTCATACTAAGTAGTCTGTTATGCTGCCCAACTTAAGATAGATTAGTGGGTGGATAGATGCAGAGTGAGAAACGAAAAGAAATCAGAGATAATTTTCCACTGAAAGGCCACAGTTGTTTTATATAGCTTTCGAAATAGATTTGAAATTAACCTATAAAAAAGGCAATAAATGTCTGAAAAAATTATAGCAACAGGTATATGTACTGTGGGGAATTTCTCTAACCAGCTGGTCCAATGTTTCCTTCCCCCGTCCAGCCGCCCCTGATTCAGACGACGTTGCTCTGTACGTCGGCATCGTGATCGCGGTGATCGTGTGCCTGGCCATTTCTGTGGTTGTCGCCCTGTTTGTGTATCGGAAGAACCATCGAGACTTTGAATCTGATATCATTGACTCTTCAGCGCTCAACGGAGGCTTTCAGCCCGTGAACATCAAGGCAGCGAGACAAGGTCAGTGAACAGCGTGCTTCACACCCGCGGCTTCTGCGTTGAGCGGTCTCCTGCGTGGCGTCAGAATCGGTGAAATTCAGGCCATGTGGTTCAGCTAGAACAGAAGCTCCGTGAAGTTGGGGATTTGGGTCTGTTTTGTTCATTACTGTATTAACTTCATTCACAGAATAAATCATCTTTTTTTTTCTTCTTGAACAGGTTTCTCTCTCATACTTTTTAACTTTTATTTGAAAAGAGTACACGGATTGGTTGACTGATTTCTCGAACCCCTTTTTTTTTCTTTTGAAAAGACATCTTGTATTGCTCTGAATATGGTGATCTAAAGATGACCCAAATCCAGTGTAGACAAGGGAAACTATCACCCAGCAGTCACCTCGTGGGGACCACTGTCTGTGAATCCGATCTATTGAAATAGCAAAGTACCTTAGGAGCAATGAGTAAACTTCAAGGCAAAATATAGAATGAACTTGTCTATTTATTTGTAGCCAATAATAAAATGGATCCCAGTCATCTAATTGCCCTGTTTTTAGCAGAAGCTTAGAGTCTATACATCTTGAATATTCACTGAGTTGCTTTGCTTTTGGCTCGGTAAGTGTCTGGGGGATTCTGACTGATGTAAGTTGCCTGAATGGAGAATTCAAATGGACTTGCTTTCTCTTTCTGACTCAGATCTCCTGGCGGTCCCCCCAGACCTGACATCAGCTGCGGCCATGTACAGAGGACCTGTCTATGCCTTGCATGACGTCTCAGACAAAATCCCAATGACCAACTCTCCAATTCTGGATCCGCTTCCCAACCTGAAAATCAAAGTGTACAACACCTCAGGTGCTGTCACCCCCCAAGATGACCTCTCTGAGTTTGCATCAAAGCTGTCCCCTCAGATGACCCAATCCTTGTTGGAGAATGAGGCCCTCAGCCTGAAGAATCAGAGTCTAGCAAGGCAGACTGATCCATCCTGTACCGCGTTTGGGACCTTCAACTCCCTCGGAGGTCACCTTATTGTTCCCAATTCAGGTAATTCCTAAAGGTTTAGATTGCAAAGATAGATCTTGGAAACATATTTTTGTATCAAAGTCTTTTTTATTTGCTTATTTCCATTATGCCCGAAAAGTTAAATGTAGCCTATCTAACCCAAATCTGCTTTCAATGTAAACCAACGTTACTTCAGATAAAAGCAGCAAACCATTTATCTTCCTCCAGCAACTCTGAAAACACTTCCTTTAGAAATATTATACTCATGACTTTCTGCCAAGGTGTCATTTAGACTGTCACTGACCTGCTTCTAATAGAGCTTCAGAAGGCAACAGCAAGTCAGAAGTCTGCACTGTTGTCATCACACTTTAAAAGGACAAATTAATTAGAAAGCATATCAGTGGGTCAGTTCCAATTTACTGCAGGAAGCAATACTTCAGAATACTAACTTTTAGATGATCAGAGGACATCCTAATAGACATCAAATCTTCATGTGTCAACTTAGCCCTTTATTCCACAGTCTTCAATCCCAAGGTATTTATAAGGTACTCACTACTATTTCTGATATGTCTCTCTAGAATCACAATTTCATCATGTGTCCTTTTGTAGTATTATTTAGTTTTCAGTTTATTACCTAGTTATCTGCTTCTAGGAATCAGCATCATAAAGGTCTTAAATGGTGAATTTAGGTTAGTGACTGATAATGTTTTATTAAAGTTTGCTATTCATTAATCAATACTAGTAATGGACTTAGAACTATTGGTCGTAAGAGGGTTAGTGGATTCCTCTCTGAATCTACCTTAGGTGTTTTGGTCAAGGCTGAACATTTTGCAAATACAGCAATAAGAAACAGTTTGATTGACAAAGTCTTCATAAGAAAAGAATATAATGTGTACACAGCCAAGTAATATACAGACCAATCTGTCTTCAGGTCTGAATATGAACTTGTCCAATTCCTGCTCTCATTCAGTCCCCCATGTCAATGCCTTCGCAATTTTTCACCCCATACCTTTAAAAGTATATTTTAATAAATTGAAATACTTAATATAATATCATTTTTCCATTTTCTATACATTTTGCATAGCTTAGATCATATATTATATAAAATTCTTTTTCACCTTTTTCTCATTAATTCTCACGCTATTGTTTGCTCTTTAAATCATGATTTTAAATATACTTTTAATAGTCTATCAAATGAGTAGATCAAAATATACTCTATTGTTCTTCCATTGTTTAAACATTATACTATTCCAAAAACAGTTTTGTCGTGATATTCACTGGATTCTATCTTTCCTTCCTGTTTTTCTACTCCTGTCACTTTTTCATATATGAATTATTATAAAGGCTTCTTCAGTGGAGAGGAGGGAGCTAGTGTGTATTAAATACTTTATATGTACTAGGCAATAGCGATTTACATACATTATTTTATTTAATAGAGTAACGATAGTTACCTAATATGTGTCAGGCCTTATTCTTGTTACTTTACATCATAATTTTATTGCATCCCCATAACAAATGTAAAGCTACATTCTATTGTTCCTGTTGGAAAGAGGCTGCTTGGCAGCCTCATGGGGGGCACTCTGTGCCTCAGCAAACTGTCTGTACCCTCGTGTGACAGTCCACTTCCCACAGCAGTATAGCCCTCACACATGACTTTCCTTCTCAACAAGGCCATGACTCAACATTTTGAACCCGTTATACAAAGGCCTTTGAATAACTATTCCTCCTTAACTCTCCATTCTTTATTCTTCATGCTCTTTTTTTAAGCTCTGCAGGTGATTCTTTTGTTGTTGGTGGTGGTGAGGAAGATTGGCTCTGAGCTAACATCTGTTGCCACTCTTCCTCTTTTTTTAATCTCCCCAAAGGCCCAGCACATAGTTGTATATCCTAGTTGTAATTCCTTCCAGTTCTTCTATGTGGGATGCCACCACAGCATGGCTTGATGAGCGGTGTGTAGGATCCAAACCTGTGAACCCCAAGCCACCAAAGTGGAGCATGTGAACTTAATCACTCAGCCATGGGACCGTCCCCTCTTCAGGCTTTTCATTGTGGTTGAGCAAGTTTTTATTGCCCTGTGCTCATTTGGCATATTCGATTTCCTTGCTAATTAAGTGATAAGCTGCTCAAAGACAAGAATGCTTTTACTTCTTGGCATTCACAACAGTGTCAAACACTGTACTAATGGTGATGCTCCGTAAATTCTTATTGAGTTGAAATAAACTGCATTTATTGGAATAAAATCATGGAGCCCGGTATCTGCAGGTCGCTGCCCACCCTGAATTCCCCTTTATGATGATGCTGCAATGGTACAGGCCAGTGGCTCTTATGGTGTAGTCTGAAGGCCGCCATCATTGGCGTCACCTGGCAACTTGTTGGAACGACAAATTCCCCAGACCTTCTACATCAGAAACTCTGGGGACAGGATCCAATAATCTGTGTTTTAGCAAGTCCTCCAGGTGATTCTGATGCAAGCTCAAGTAGCAAACCCCTGCTGTAGAGCGGAGCTCAATCCAACGGTCCTACAAAATGGCACCAATTAGCAACTAAGTAAAAGCCTGCTTGACCTGCTGTGACTAAAACTGGCAGTTGCTGTTCACTTTCTAGAGTTGCATATGATGAAAGAAGTTCTTCACCAAGTATTATTCTGTTATGGAAAAACACTGATGCTAACCAGATTGTTCAGAAATAACTGGTTTTTTAATGTTGTTGAGGTTAGCGTTTCCCTGACTTTGAATCTTGCGGGGATTTTTTTTTTTATTAGAAACGATGCATCATTACAGCTGTTTGAAATTTTAAGAGCAGTTGTTGGTTTTCCCCTCACTTTACAAGGAAAACAACAGTGGAACCATCTGTCTATTCCTTAAATAAAACAAGAGTTTAAAAAATTACATCATTCCTTTAAGTAATTCCATAACAGTTCAGAGGGAGCGGTGGTAACAAATACAGCCAATAGGGAAGGAGAGCAGGGCAGCTCTGAATATTTACATGTCTTTAGAGAAAAAGCAGGCCTATGGCTACGTGGCCGCAAAATCTCTCAGTCCCTTTCACGTGCTTCAAAGGCAATCTGTGAAGTTTCCTTTTGATTCATAGGTCTTATGTGACTGCTTTTCTCTTTTGCTATTCAGGAGTAAGCTTGCTGATTCCCGCTGGGGCCATTCCCCAAGGGAGAGTCTACGAAATGTATGTGACTGTACACAGGAAAGAAAATATGAGGTAAATATGCTTTTTCTGGTGCACTTGACTTTATCAGTGTCTGACTTGGAGGAGAATTGTACAATAGAAAGAATAAACCCGACATATTTTTGTCTTGAGTGTCCTACTTCTGGCATACCCTTTTTTCCCGACTTATAAAAGGTCAGCTTTTACTTCTCTTTATCTTTAAAGCTCCAGACACTTTTGCAGATCTTGAATATGGATGGAAGGCCAGAGATCTTTTCCCAAGTGAACGTGTGACCATATCACATGAAAAAATGGGCAGAAATGTGATCCACAGATTGTCCAGAGAGATATGTGGGTAGACACGGAGGCATCGGCTTCCTGTGGCCTGGCTCAGGAATCCAGCCTGCTCCCATTATAGGGGTAAAGGTCACAAAGAATTAGACAATCCCGTAACCCCTGACCTGGCCCCCACCGCAGGCTAGCACTTTATTCTCACCTGCAGATTCTTCTGTTTGTGACTCTCTCTAGCTCCAGTGTTACCGACCTCTGTCTTATGTTTAGCACTTAGAGTTCCATATTGGGCCTTTCTGAATGGATCCAGGGTTGATTAAAACTAGTGAATCAAAAGGCCCTGTTCTGAATGTGTCATTATTATAAAGATGAAGTTATTTTAAGTAAAATTAACAAGAGGAGTTCAGAAGTCCTAAATTCCACTTTCAATGCAGCCTCTAACAAATCATCTGTGGTCTCTCTTGATTAGTTCTCACATAAAGTGCGTGTGTTAAATAGTGCTTTAAAGGCTTGACTGATTAACGCTTCTGAAGTACACTGAGAACTTAAAATAAAAGATGCTGAAATGAAGATCCTTACATGTAATTATCATTGCTTTTCCCAAGGGGAAAGGCCTCGGCTCCTCAGCCCTGAGCTCTGAACATAAGCATGAGTGACAAGCACAGCACCAGGTGATCATTACAGCGAGTTGTACCTTTTCTCTTCCCCTCTCATCCTCAGGAAAACATCCATTTTTAGTCTTGTTCTTCAGGAGCCGAAAAGCTCTTCTATAACGCTCTCTGGCGGAGACACTGGTGTTTATAACCGCCAGGCCCCAGGACCTTTTTATCCTCAGGGGCTGTCCTCTCACCTGCACAAACACCAGCCTGGCTGAGAACATAATAAAACTTGTTGAGCATTATTCAGGCCTTAAAGTTGAGCAACAGAAAATCACTGAAAGGCTTGTATTTACATCACATATTCATTTTTTCATTCTCCATGCAAAGTCACATTTCCAGGCCCGCAGAGCGCCCTTCTTCTGCAGCAGGAGGGCTGAAGGTTAGCAAGCTCCGAGATCTTTCTACATGTTTTTCTTCTTTATCTTGTCCAGAGTCAATTAGCACTAAGTACATCATCCCTCAAGGCCTTTGCCAACATAGACATTGTGTTTAAAGGGAAAGAGTATCGGCTTGTGCTTCATGCTGAGAGGCAGCGAGGTGTCCCGGTCTCTTCCTTCCATCTGAGCATCTTTGTCTCTTGCTGAAGAGCCGGCCCTCAGGGCTGTGGCAGGGCCGTGGGGCCCAAAGGGCCAGCACTCAGTGGCCTTGGAGGGGTTTCCTGCCCACGGTTTAGTTGGCACCCTGACCAGGAAAATCGTACATTCAGGATGAAGGAAAGAGAAAACAGAAAATTGATAAAGCTAGACACTTCTGCTTGTAGGTCCCTCTGCCTTTGACTCTAAAGAAAAGGGAACTATGAATTCCCTCCTTGCTGTGCCTGCCACCTGAAGTTAGGTGCGGAGGGAATTACTCTGTTGAATTTGTTGTGCATCAGAGAAGTTCTCTTTATAAAAATGAAACTAGAGGAACCTCAAGATATCAAAAGAAAATATGCATGAGAGGCCATGAAGCAAGGAACAAACGTGAGAACATAACCGTCTCAAATAAACGAGGAAGTTCTCTCTTGATGATTTTCTGTTGGGAACTAGATGCATTTTTCTTGTAAAAGCACATTGACAAGAATGTGTTTTAGGATATAGTAATAATACAAAGCGAGCTGCCACCTATTCGGCGTACTTTTAATTTCCTTTATTCCTCACTGCAACTCTGCAAGTTATGACAAGCTCCACTTTAAAGATGAAAAAACTAGGGCTCAGGGGAATTCAGTCACACAGCCAAGGTGTCACAGATTACAACTGAGGGAAGGCAGAATTCACACCCAGGTCACCCCACCGCCACCCTCTTCCACTTTCTAACATGCCATCCCTCTTCCACAGCACACAAACCGAGCCTCTGCCTTCCTGTTATAGCGCATTCTTTTTATTGCTCACTAAAGACCGTTTCTATCCTCACGTGATCCGAGACAGAAGTTCTTTCAGAGAAGACACTCTGAGGACATCAGGAGATATGAGTTACTTCAAGACATTTATAGGAAAATTCTGATCATTTTTCTCCATTTCCTTTCTCTCTGATTCCCTTTCTTGCATTCAAAACTGGGTGTTTTTCCACCTGGATGGTATCCAGCTGGTCATCTGCCGACGTGAACTGTCTAAAGGGAGGCGTGAACTTAATTACACGTGGCACAGTGAATGTGACAAGAGGGGCCTTATTACCGAATATGCTCCAAGAGGAAGCCCTGGGTGGCGGATGAGCAGCCTCAGTGAGCTGCAGAGCTGGGACAAGCTGTCTCTGACCAAAAGGGAGCAGAGCTGCAAGGCTGTGCTCGTGATTTCCACCTCCTTCACAGATCTCTGGAGAGGTGGCAAAGCCTCTGCTCCCTCGTGAATACCATTTCCACGATTAACGGCTCTAACATGGGCCTTTTTGCTTGTTTCCAATAGCAGTTTAAAAAAATGAGTCTGATGCAGACTGAAATTTTGCCTTTTGTCATTTCTTATCGAAAAACAATTGGAATTGAAGATATGAACATTAATTTTCCCTTTCTCTGTATTCCGTACTTGCCTAGCAGTTTTCTCAAAAGGCCAAAAAATCAATTTACACATTCCAAATATAAAGGCAAATAGAACTTTTTCTGGTAAACTGTGGGGAGCCGTGGAAGGTCTCTGAACAGCAACGTGGTACAGGAATAGCAGTGCTTTTGAAAGATTGATCTGGTGATGGTGTGTGGGCTGAATTGGTGCAGGGAACGGAAAGACCCCCCGGAGGCGGGGTGTCTGGGTGGGCTCTGGCAATAATCTACGTGTGAGGGGAGAGTGGAAGAGCCAGGCCCGAGTCTAGGGAATGGAAAGTGAAGTATATTTCAGAAGAAAAAGTATCTCACGACCATCAGAAGTATTGCGAAAGAGTGGCAGAGCACAAAGAACGCGCGTAGGAATCAAGCCTCAGGCACTGCGAGGACTGTGACGCCGGCCGGCCGGCCGTGAAGGGGCTCAGACGCAGCTACTGGTTCCAGGCGGGAGAGGCCAAATTCTGATTCAGATATGCGCGGTGTGTGTGAGGGGGGACCGGGTTCGTGCTAGAGAGGCAGACGGAAAGTCACCGGTGATGGAGCCACCGAGGGACAAAACGCAGAGGCAGAAGGAAGAGAACTGCGGAAAGAACTTTGGGAAGTACTCCTGTTTCAGGTTTGGGGGTGACGAGCGAAACTAAATAGAGCATGTCAGGATAAGGCAGACAAAGAGTTTGCATCGAGCACGGTGCTTAACATAGAGTGGCTCCTCAGTGAATATTTTTGAATGAAAGAGTAATTGATTGTAAGCATAGTAGGAAAAAATCAGAAGTAAAGAGTTTCAAGATGGAGGAAGTGGTTGACAGAGGTGTTATTAAAACTGGAATTGAAAAAAGAGAATAATAAAAAGAAGACTGGATTTATCAACTGCAGGACATTGATGGCCTGTAGGATTTTTTTTAAGGAGGAAATCCCAGTAGGAAGGGTTTAAGGTGTGAGTTAGTGGTGAGGCAAACTATCATATATATAATCTACTGACAATATTATAAAGAAATGTGTTAGGATAGCAGGCCAAAACTCTCTTATGTAGGTAATCATATAGCAGAAAGTTTTCAATTATTTTAACATGTTGTCTGGAACTTTGTAAAATAGTAGTTGACATTGTCATTTCTCAGTGAAATTCAGCGATAGTCTCCTTGTAGGCGGAGTCCTAAATTCCTCCTCTGAAGGAACACTTTAAAAAGACTAAATACATAGGGAGAAGGGAGTGGAGTCCAGGTGTATTCAAATCTTATTCTCTCACTGTGCTCCACAGTGTTTATTTATTGAAATCCTACTAAAAAAGAAAGGATTCAAGGATTTATGAAAATACTGTCTTTTCAATGGGAGGAAAAAAATTTTAAATAAGTGGATAAAAAAATGAGAAAATGGGAAAATAAGATTAGAAAAGATAAGATAATAAAGTCAGGTGAGCAGTTAGAATATAAAATATTTGGTGTAGTTTCTACCATATTTCCCGGCAATAGGTCATGAATTTATTATTTCAAAGCTTTCAAGGGGGAGTGTGGAAAATTGCAAGAACCATGTGCACATGAGGAAAAAACATGTCTGGAAGAAGCTCAGTTATTTCTCCTTCGGTTCCTCATAAAGAAGACATTTTGTTAATACAATGAACAACGTCCTTGAAATAAAAACAGCAACGAGTTTCATAGGGCCTCTTCTGTTGGCGTCCCTCAATGTAAGTAGATGGTATAAGGCCCGACTATAACTTCAGTAAAATAATTCCGCAAGGATTCGGCACTTCAGTGCAGGGCACAACGCTTAGCTGTTCCAGCTTAATCCAGGGATAGATTTTGGCCTGTCTAGGGAAATGGTGGCATGCCCTTCAGAGCGCCTTCCATAAATATTTTTTTTTGCTCAATTGAGCTTTTGACAGCAAGTGAGTTCGATATTCCCTGTCACATACCCAGAGTGCAGATATTTCAAGTTGCCCGTCATATGCGAGACTGCTTTAAAAGGCAGCTGAGCCGAGGGTGGGATGGCCCTCCTGAGGGACCTGACCAAGGACAGGTGTGTAATAGAGGGCATCTTGTCTCCACAGTGAGGTGGACAAATTCTTTTCAAGAAGCAATTTTGAACCTGCTCTAGCAAACAGAAAGAAAACATTTCTCAAGGCCCTAAACCCAGATAAGCAACCCCAAATACGCCACTGTCTGAAAGAAACCAAGTGACTTGTGCTTGAATTCTAGATTTGCTTATGACTAGCTTAGCAGCCTTAGGCACGCGTGTTACTATCTCTAGATTTCAGTTTCCTCTTCTGGAAAAAGAGGTCCTAGAAATACTTATCCTAACTACCTTACAGGTGTGCCCTGAGCAGCAAATGCAGCCGCTCGTGTGAAACGTTTGTAAATTACGCGCTTCTGTGCAGGAGACATTCTCTTCACTAAAGATGTCATGCGAAGGATGAGAGACTCTCTCTGACGGGAAACGAAAACTCCGCTCTGAGGGCTTTGTCCTAGAGGCCCCGGAACCCATCCAGCATTTACCATATTATCCTTGATAGACTTCGAAAAGCCTTTAAAACTTTAGTCATTGTTCATTAGTGAATTTCTACTTAATTGCTGCTTCTGCAGCTAAGTGTTGCTTTGTGTTCATTTCCATATTGTCTGCAATTAATATTTATAGAATATTTCCTTAAATATCTTAGACAACACATGTGACATAAAGGATTGAAGCCCCTTTCTGCAAACACATGAATCAGACTTGATTATACTTATTTTCTACTATTTTTGTTTTATGTATTTTAATATCCTCACTTTATGTAAATAAAGGAAGTGTGGATTTAAACACGCTGACCTTTGGTTTCACACAGTTAAATCTGAAGCTTCCCTAAGTCACTCCTTCCATAAATGCTTGGAAATGTTTCCAAGTTCAACATTAGTTCCTTCGCTTGAAAACAAAAACAGATTTTTATCATTATTTCTTCTTTGTTTTTCATCCCCTGTTATGAATCCCACTTCACCGCTTCCCTATTCATTACATTTTTGCACCTCACTGGGTTAATAAATTCTTTTGACACCTACTGCCCCCTCCTTCCCTTGCTATCGCTCCTCCAAGAATGGTGCCATCAATATTGCATGCCAGGGGTGTGCTTGGCGAGTTCAGGTCTGACAGCTCCCTGGCCCAGCAGGGAGTCTTCTCCCTTCTGTTCCAACTCAATGATGAGAAGAGCCCCTCCTCCTCCTGCCTCCAGCCCCGGCTGCTAACAGTGGACTAGGAGACAGATGTTTCCAATCCCCAACAATATTGCAAGGACCACTTGAAATGGATTCCACTTTAGTCTCTTTCCTTTAAAGTTTAATGCTCACTTCTCAAGGCACACTTGTAACTAAAGGTAAGAGTGGTGCTCAGGAAAAGGCAATCAGTGCTTTTTCTTGCCCTGGTCGGAAAAGTAGAAATAAGTAAGAATGAAGTTACTGCTTAGGGCAGATAGTATAATATCAGCTAAGACACAATGAAAGCAAACCTTACTCATGTTCTAAGAGAATGAATTTCAGATTGGAAAGAAGGAGGAAAAACTGGGTTAAGAGAAAATGAAAACGATGGGGCAAAGGGGACAGTAATGACTTCTCAAGCTGCCAATAACCTTATGATTCCAACTATAAGTACATTTCTAAGTAATTCAATAACTTTAGATTTAATAAAACTGTGTTCTTACTCCGTGAGAATGGAGACAGTATTAAAAAACTAAAAGGAGATAAAAATTGTTTTGATTTTCTAAATGTAAGGAAAGAAAAGCCATGGGTTGATGAGATCCTCTTGAAATTTTAGCATGAGAGAGGAAACAAGTTTCATGAAGGGGACAATCTGCAAATTTTAATTGAGGTCTTAGAACTGATGATGATAATTGTCAAGAACCGAGGAATCTCTATGATTTAATCTTACTTGTGAGCTACCAAGTTGGCTACCACAGTTTTGTGGATGCTAATAGATGATGCAAGACTCCTGGGTCAGAGACAAAGGACAGTTTATTACTCACAGCAATAGCACTATCTAGAGTATCATCATTTTCGTGCCAGTTTCCTGAGTCCCGGTTCCAAAAGAGTGATGCAAAGAAGGTCAGATGACATCTACAAACTCAGTGGTTGCATTCCAGGAAAGGACACCGAGCTTAGGGAACCTGAGTCTTTTATAATGGGAAGTAGACATACCTGCCATTTGCTCCAGAGGTAACCACTATCTCTCTTCCAAGGTGATTGCTAAATAATTGCTTTGAATAGACAGCCAAGAAAGTGCAAAAACATGTGAGAACCATGGAGAATTGTTTTCCAACAATATCTTAAAAAATAATAAGTGCTGCTATCATTCACTGAGTGCTACATGAGGCCAGAAGATGCAAGCTAACTTTTAGATTATGTAGTATTTAATATATAAACCACAGATAAAGACTAGAGAAAAATCCATTTCAAGTGGCCATTGCAATTATAGAGGAAATTTGATATGTCCCTTGTAATATCCATGTGAATGAAATGGAAAGATGTGAACTGGACAATGTATATTTTAATGGGTTTATATTCGGCTGAACTAAATAACTCAAAGTATGGTGTCAGACTGGAGCGAGGTTTAAAGCAGCATCCTTGAAAAGATCTCTGTCGCTGACCTATTTTTATATTACAATATTATCAATGATTGGAATGAGAACATAAATGGCAGGCATATCAGATTTATGGAGGATCAAAGACCAGAAGAGATAGCCAATATTTGGTGGAAAGACATAGCATTAAGAAATGGATGACCTGAAATTTTCCCTGAAACTGTTAAGGTGAAATTAAATACCTAAATATAAATTTCTGTACATAGGTTCAAAAGCCATCATTGCAACCACAGAACTATAGAGATTTAGCCTAAGAGCCTTTCCTGTTAGGAATACATAGAGCGGTTAGCTTTACCAAATTACTTAACCTTCTTGGGGCTTCATTGCCTCATTTTATAAAGGAGATACTTAACTATATCGTCTCCATCTTCCCATCTACTGAAGCCTGCAAAATAATATTTATAAATAATTACTTGATTGAGAATAATCTAAAGCAACAATTGTGTGAGGCACTGATGTAACTACGTATTCCAAATCAAGGAAATAGGAGTCCCGCTATGCTATCTCCTTGAATATTACACTCATTTCAAGATGCCCCGCTTTAGTGAAGACATTGAAACACAGACAGACATCTATATGAAAATAAAGATAGAAATTTAGGAAGATATGTGGAAACCACACTTTTCTATCCAAATTTGAAAAAATTGGGGATGTTTGGTCTGAAATAAGATCTTTTAGAGACATCATAACAATCTCTAAACATTTGAAAAGTTTTCATGCCAAAGTGGAGAGAAAGCAGGTCAAGGATATATGGAGATAAATGTCAGGAAGGCAGATTGTGTTCATTCTAAGTAAGAATGTTTTCTAAGTTTGCATTGATGGTAGATGAGGTGACCCCTCAGTAGTAGCAGACTACAATTTTGGTTGTGCCTAAAGCACTAACCACACATCAGCATATTGCAGAGAGGCTCCTGCTTTGGATGGAAGGCGGTGCTTTCTGACCCCAAGGGTCCTTCCTCCTCTAAAATAGAGTCCATGATTTCTTAAGCCACGCTATTCTGGCAGAGTGGTTTGAGTATTGTCGTTGAGAAGCCATTGGTTTGAGTCCCAGCAGTAGCTGTCGTTCATTATGAGACTTTGGGCAATCCACTCAACACCTTGGGACAACTTCCTCACTGATAGCTTGAGTTAAGTTCTGCCTTTTCATGATTACAATCTTATTAGGGAAAGGATTTAAGGGAATTTTAAAAAAACATATGAAATAAAGATTTTTGGATCTTTAAGGTTCTTTCCGCCCAGATTCTCAGAATATGAAGTGCACAGGTAGAGAGATTTCATTTGAAATTACTAGAGAAATACAGTTCTATATTCTTTCTGGTCATATTTGAAACAATGAAGCTGCTGTACCAGCTTGAGCTACTCCCAAAAGTCATTTGGAAGAAGCTGAGCTCTAGGGTGTCCTTATTCTGAAGTTGTTGTTTTTTTTTTTAAACTATTTTTCAAGTTTGGTCCTAAAACCACAAAAGTATTTAAAACCCTGTGAGACCAGAAGATGGTTATGTAACCTCATAAGGCCTTTGTTCCTTCTCATTCCATCCTGAAAGTATCTGTACATGAATTCAGAGGAAGTCACCAAGGGCAGACCTGTGTCTGAGGGGAGGGGATCAAAGAGATGCTGGCAGGTTCACCGTTGTCATAGAGACCTCCAGTCCTGCAGTATCAAAGTCCTGGTTTAAAGAGCATGTCTTCCCATTTAATTCTGCCTCACTCCCCCCAAAAAAGAAACTCCAAGAAGAAACTGTCTGTACAACTTTAGATCTAAAATCTCAATGAGTACATAGTACATAAATACTATGGAAATACTATGTCACTGATGCTGTTCTCTACTCTCCTCCCAGGCCACCCATGGAAGACACCCAAACACTCTTGACCCCAGTGGTGAGCTGTGGGCCTCCAGGAGCCCTGCTGACCCGCCCCGTCATCCTCACCATGCATCACTGCGCAGATCCCAGTACCGAGGACTGGAAGATACAGCTCAAGAACCAGGCAGCACAGGGGCAGTGGGAGGTGAGCTTCTGCTGAGATAAAGATGGAAGCAGGAGCAATGCATGCAGATGAGCAGGAACAAATACGGGACAGCTTTTATCTTCAAAGCAAAACCTGGATAGAACTTTAGCTTACACTCAAAATGAAAGAGAGAGAGAGAGGGGGGCACAAAGAGAGGGGAGAGAGTGGGAGGGAGGCAGGAGGAGGGAGAGAGAGATGAACTGGTTCCCGAATGCTTTATCTGCTGACTGATAGGCACAAAGAAAATGGTAGTCAAGCATGAGCTAACTCATAGGGAAAGTGCACTCAGAGTCTTACACAAGTGCCTTTTGGCGTATACATACTCTATCTTGGGAAGGGAAATATATATATATATATAAATATATTAAACTTGCAGGTAGAGGAACATTGCACCTGGGTCAGAAAACGTTAGGCACTTACTTGCAGAAAAGTACCAGCAATATGGTTCTTCTGAACTTAACCTGGGAGAAGAGCAAGGGCGTGTCTCCCCAGCTCCACTAGAATGGAGACCTTCTGTGGCATCCTGGCTCTCTGTGGCTGCCGCCATCATCACCACCTAAGGACAGTGTCCTGAACAGACCCTCTGCTTTACATCAGTACCCTTTAGTTAGCACCTAAAGTGAATCGCGAAAGGATTTGTTATATTTACCATGAAGATTTTATACCTAATACCTTAAACAAAAAGCTTGGTTATGTTCATTGTTATCTCTTGAATAAAGAGTATTTATTGTTTAAATAGACCTGCACTCCAGGACTGAAGTTTAGGGATGTACTTTTTGTTAAGACCAGATGTGAGCAGACCTAACTTCAGTTTCATTTAAGTTTTAAATGATTTATCTCAAAAACATCCCAAAGTCTTAATCTCAAGTGATCCTAAATTGTTTGCGCAATTCTCTGCCTAATACTCTAAAACCTGTCCATTTCTGAACTTGACTAATAATAACAGTAACAACAATAATAAAAATAAAATAAAATAAAGAGATGAGAAGAGTAGAAGAGGGCAGTCCTCGTGAAAACACGCTCGTGCTTGTGGCAGCCACATGGAGCACTCTGTTCTTGGCCACAGCTTCTAGGAGGCTGTCTGTAACGGGCCATCATTAGATGGTGCTTGAGGCTTGCCCTGGCCCTGCTGGAGAAAGCAGCTTCTTTCCAAGTGTCCTTCTTGGGCTGGAGTAGACCTGGAGGAGCTGCCCTTCCTTCTCTCTCTTTTCTGGTTCAGTTTGAGCTTCATCTTTGTGTACAGGTTCAGTTGCAGAAATGATTTCATGGATGCTATTAAAACACAGCTCTTACCATAGCTCAGATGATGTTGCAAGGCCTAACTAACCAACAGCCACCTGGGGTGGCTACTTCTTTCACATCTTTTACCAGCCCCAGCGACTCAATTTATGAAGAAACATTTATTTTCTTTTTTGACAAATAACCATTGCTTACCGTGAGCCAGGCTCACTGAGACACAGTGGGAAGCAAAGTAGATATAGTTCCTGCCTCTGTGGAGGTTAAGTAGCCTAAAGCAGAGGCTGAATCGTGCCCACACATCTGCTTTATTTCTCCCACATGAAATTTTCTTTTAAATTTGCATTAATTAAAAGTTGGAAGATTTTGCACAAAAATCTGAACTTCCAGCTTCTCTTGAAAAATTAAAGGCTCTGTCCTCCCTGGGCCTGCATTCTTGCATAGCCGCAATGAGCTGCAGCCAAGTGGAGACAGCTCTTTAGTCAGGCTCCTGCTCTGTGCTCTGCTTCATCACAGTCTCCACCATGCCTTAGTGCCTTCCTCCCTACCTGCTTCCCACGTTCCTATTACCCGGTTCCCCCAGGAGGCATGTGGAATTGCGACCCTTGGTCATGGATCCTATGGATGGTCTTTCAGATGATTTATTCTGTAGCCTGAGCCATTGGGATAAATCAAAACCTGTTTGAGTTTGTAACTATTTCTACAAAACTCATCACTTCCATTTATTTCTTGCTAAATATTGTCAAAGTCTAAAAGGGTAGATTGTTTAAAGTCTTACATGAAAAATAACAGAGAAAAGTGTTTTAAAGGCATGGGATTTGTCATATCATGCCTTCCGTAGAGTCCAGCAGCTTGGGTTATTGAGGAAAAGCAGTGTATTGCTCTGGAAAATAATCGGCACATGGGTTTTGGAAGAATATAGTAGAATGGTATTGCATAATTCCTTACTTTCTCTAATTCTTTTCAAGACTAGATTTTTAGGGGAAAAACTATGATGCTATAATGACATTGCAATAAAAAAGTACTTTGGGATTAAATATGAAATTTAGAGATTAAAACATTAAGTTCTCAGAATCAGATAATGAACTCAGGTACGCTAAAGTTAAAAGGATAATCCATGACTTTCTTTTGGAATTTTATGTAGATTCCAGTAATGTAGATTCTTGGAAGATCAAAAAATAGTACATAAAGGGCATCTATGTCAAGAATACTATCAGTATAAGGGCAAGGGGAGTAAGGGACAGAAGGATGAAGAATGAAGATAGAGGTGTAATAAAGCCTGAGAAACAAAAAGAGCAGGAAAAAGAATAATCAAAACTCAGGAGAAGAGGTCCCCTCGGCCCCCACCTCCACGGCAGCAGGATGCTCAGCGGCTCAGCAGGGCCCCTTCCCTCTTGTCCTGCAGGATGTGGTGGTGGTGGGAGAAGAAAACTTCACCACCCCCTGCTACATTCAGCTGGACGCAGAGGCGTGCCACCTGCTCACCGAGAACCTCAGCACCTACGCCCTGGTTGGCCAGTCCACCACCAAAGCGGCCGCGAAGCGCCTGAAGCTGGCCATCTTCGGGCCCCTCTGCTGCTCCTCCCTGGAGTACAGCGTCCGAGTCTACTGTCTGGACGACACCCAGGATGCCCTGAAGGTAAGCGGCTCCGGCCTGACCCGTCCTCTTCATCTCCCCACCGGAGCCGAGGTCTGGTGTGGCTGCACACACCTAGAGAGGACGTGTATGTGTGTGTGCACCCACGTGTGTGAACACAAGTGTTGGGCCCAAAAAAAGCAATTAGAAAAAATTAGACATTTCTCTGAGGCCATGCTGATAAATGGGCTATTTCCGTTATGCTGATCCCTCCCAAGGGCTACTTTTGTTTACCTTCCTTGATTTCTTTTAATGAAAAATTTAGAAGTGGAAGAATTTGGCAAGGAGACCTGTGGTTGGTAAATAATCTGCTTCCATGTTTATCTCAGCTGCGTTCTTCCCAGGAAAGGCATTGGCGTAATTGCTCACCCTGTATGTGCCTCTGGTGTGCCGCTTCGCTCATACGCTCGCCCATTCTTTTATGGGCGCTGTGAGGAGGAGCGCTAGCATTTGACAACAGGCTGCTGCTTTGCAGAATAAATGAGCTTAATTCCTGGTGCTGTTATTGCCATGTATTTAATCCCACTTGAAGCTTTAAAGGATATAGTAAGTGCCTTTGAAGAAGTTATGATCTAGAAGGAGGAATAAAAGAAGTATGCCAAAGACTAGGAGACGAGTCAGAGTGTGAGGAGTGCCATAGGTGAATGCAACATTCTGTGCCGGTTCAGGAGAGAGAGGCATCATGTTATCTGGAGGAAAGCTGGAAAGGAGCTAACATTTCATATTGGCCCTAATGGAAGGTTGGGTTTGACCAGCAGTAATGGGAAAAAAATACGAGATTTCTAGGTGAAGGGAACAGCATGAAGAAACACAGGAAGAGCAAATACAGAGTCTACACGGGTATATTATTTCCAGTAATCCTGGAACCATAGATAGGAGTTTTGTTGGGATGGACCTTGACTGCCAGAGGGAGGAGTTGAGATTTAGTTTCTTGAGTTAATGGAAAGCCACTGGGGAGATTTAAAGAGAAGAAAGACATGATTGGAAATACGTAAGAAATATTAGTCTGACATCAGTGGAAAGACAGAGTCAAGTTAAGAAGTAAAGCATGGTAGAGCTAACATGACAACAGAGGAGTGAGAAGAAGGGAATCGGTGTGACGGATCCTGTTCAAGTAGCTCTTACAGGCCTGGTGACTGACCCCGCGTGGGTGAGCAGAGGGTCAAGTCTGCCTCAAAGCAACAGTAGCAAACTCAGGGGCAGGTGGCATTCGAGTGTGGATATGGTGCTTTTGCTTTTGGAGTATTGAGTTAGAGGTATGAGTTAGGCATCAGGACAAAGATTAGAAATATGGGTGAGTCTCTCCAAACGGACAGCAGATCCTGAGACAGAGACGCAGGAACCAAATCTATAATATTGACGTTTGTCATCCATGGGGATCAGGGACAATGTCAAGGGAGAGTGAAGGGAGAAAATAATAATAATGAAATAAACATTACTGAGAACTTCCTGTGTGCCTGGCAAGATTCTAAATATTTTTTATTATCTTATTTAATCTTTACAACAGCCCTGTTAAGAAACCATTATCCTCATTTTATAGGTGTGCCATCCAAGGCACAGAAAGGTTAAGTAAGTTGCTCTAGGTCACACAGCTATTGAGTGGAGAAAGCAGGCTTCTCGCCCGGGCAGCTGGCTGCAGTCTGGACTCTCTGCTCCTAAAGCGGGTTGCTCGAAGAGCCAAACCCTGGAGATAGGGACCAAGGGGAGCCCTACCATTGTGAGGGAGGTTGAAGGGCAGCCAGCAAAGGAGCTCCAGAGGGTGAGCATGCAGAAGAGGAAGAGCAGCAGTGGAAAGGGAAGATAGTTTTTCTGAAAATCAGGGTATTTACTTCTAGAGTTTCCATCCAGAGAGTATTTCCGGCTCATGAAAACTGGGTGTTGCGTGGTGGGTCCTTGGCGGGGAGGCAATGGGATTGCCGCTGGGATTGCCGCTGGATCTGTTTTTGATGGTCAAGCCCGGAGGAGTTTCTGAGGTGTAATAAATGATGCGAACACACAGCTCTGGTGTAAAGCTTAAGGTTATTTCTTTCATGTTCCTTGCAAATCTGATACTTCTAAGACATTGTCAGGGTAGAGATCATCCCAGGCTGAAATTCTTCTTAGGGAAAACTGTGTTTGGGGGAGAGCCATGGAGTTTCACTAAAGCAAATCTTTTTAACAATTCTAAGAAAAATCGTTGCAGACAGCGTATGGTAGAAGATTTACGTCCTATTTGAAATGTTTGATACACCTATTTATATTCACACTCCTACTTCTTATACTCAGGACCTCTTGACCTTTCTTCCCAACAGACACACACAAATCCATGCAAAAAAAAAGGTAATATTTTCTAAAATAATTTTGATTATTTTAATTAGTGAAAAGTGATGCAAGTGGTCAACACCGAGAAAGACTGACAGGTTCAAGCAGTGAAAGCAACCCAAGAGCAGTTTGTCTCATGGCCAGTGCCTTCCGAATAGACATTTATAAATTCTCAGCATCTGGGGACCCAGCTCTTAGGCTGAGACAAACATGAATAATGGGAAGGACCTTCTTGCCTCACGGCCTTTTAATAATGCAGAAATACCAAAACCCGAGCTGTAGTTAAACGGTCTGTGCAACATGCCAACGAGACATTAGTTCAGTCCGCCAACACTGCCTCACACCCACACTTGAATTGGAACCTTGGGGCTGATTAACTCAGAAAGGCCCTTCATTACCTAAATTCTGCCGTCTTGGCACACTGCCTGCCGCTGTTCCCCGCCAGTCTCTCCCCACGCCCTGCTTCCTAACCGCTGTTACCCATAAATACCATCTTTTGCCTCGCTCCTTCCAAATACCTCCCCCTTCCCCAGGCCCACCCCGCCCTCACTCACGCTCTTCCCAAGTCAGTAGTTCTCTATCCCACGCACAGAGGAATCCACTGGAGATCTTTAAAAACGACTCGCTCCAGGGTCCCACCCCAAAGGTTCGGATCTAATTGGTTTGGTTATTGAGGGTCTTGTTAGCACTCCCTGGGTTATTCTGCTGTGCAGCCAAGGTTAAGAACTGTTACCCTAACACTTTTACAGGTCTTTGGGGAACTGTAATCCTATTAAGGACAAATTTCCTACATTCTCAAGTCATTCTCTCTCCCATTCCTTCACCCGCTCGCGTTCACTGCAACTGGATCTTCCAGGTAACGTGGCACTGCTCACAATCCGTGCAGTGAATCCACGCCCTCCAGCTGGTCATGAGGCCAAGGGGAAAGTTCCAGCACTTCTCACACCCCGCGAGCACTTCCATGGCATTGCTCTACTTCAAGGGCTAGCTCGCTCTTCTGCTATTCTTTATTCCGTTACTCTGTTATTTGTTACCCATTTCAGTTCCTTAGCACAGAGTCCCTCCAGTACACATCCCACCCTAGCAGTACCTGCCTCATGGTCCTTCTCCCCGCTCATTTTATTCCCATCATCCTCTCAAACTCAAGGTCAACACTTAATCACAGTTCCTTTGCCCAAGTTTATTCTAGTAGCCTTCACATCATCCCACTTCCACTTCCAGGCTGTTGATTCGCTTTAAAAACCCATAAATTTCTGATTTCATCTATTATACTCTGCAGATGTCTGCCGTCAGCTGGGCCTCCCAGGCTTCTCCACAGTCCTTTACCTCTTCTTGACTCATCAGATTTCACATGGCACTGCTTGCCAGTCCCTCCCACTCTCCCTCGGTCCCTGCCTGCATCACAGCCCCGTCATGCTTTGCAGTGACCTAACACCTACTGCACCACTCCAGGGAGGCTCCCTCAGCTGCTGCCCTTTACCCTGCAAACTTTTCATTTCAGCCTCTTCTCGCCTAGTCCGGCTCTGATGAAAAGGAGCTCTACCTTCCTGTTTATGTTTTAATCCAGCTCCTCCACCACCTCCATCTCCAGCATAGCAAGTGATGCCCGAATGCAGGTCTCACCAGAAATGATATTTTCTTACAGTGACTGCTGTGTACTGGCGACTCCTCTGAATTGCAGAAACCCTCACGGAACTTTGTACCAGGGCAGCAAGGGAGCCCAGTGGAGCACTCATTCTCAGGGGTCAGAACTCCACAGTCTGGAGAGCTCTTAGAAAAAGGCTATGGCCCGATGTCTGGAGCTGAACACGTCAAGACTATTAATTCCCTCTTTTTATCACATGTGCTTATATTGTCCGTGTGGATGGGGGGGGGGAGAAGGAGACCACCGCATCAGTCAGTCTCAAGCAACCCTGATGCATTCTTTCATCTCCCTACCCACCTCTTTGAGTTCAGCAGCTTCTGTAACAATTTCCTTGAGTTTTGCTAAGCCTGGGGACAAAAATGGTCACCTGAAAGTTAAAAGCTGCATTTAGCAATATGGAAGCACTGATGTAGGATTTGGACGCTAGCGGTGACTACTGGAGCAAGAGTCAGGGCAGCTGGGAGACAGCAGAATGCTTTTATACACCTTCCAAGTGGGGTTTTTCCTGAGCACGTGCTGGGAGGACCAGTGGGAGCAAAGGCAGAGATGCTAAGAATTGTGGGAAGAGTTGAGAACCAATTCTGTTCTCAGATACAGAGCTCACGGCTACTGGAGAGACTGAGCTGGGTGTGTCACGGTGTTTCTCTTTTCCTCCTCTTCAGGTGATTAAAGTAATAATATTGGTGTTTTCTTTTCATTGTTTGCAAAGACTTAAATCCTAATATAAATAGCCCAGAAATTAATAGAGAACAAGGTTATATTTGGGATACGTTTTAAAACACCCAGGGAGAAGCACACATCTACGTTGACATAAGTAATTTCTGCCCTCCATCATAAGGGTATCATTTATGAGATGCTTCTTTTGTAATAAAGGGGTTTACACTAAGTTCTGAGATTCAGAACCTAAAAGAGGAGTTATTTGCATACAATATGGGCCGTGTGTGATGTTTATAGAATTTCTGACAGCTGTGTATGTCACACAAACCAAATGATGTGCATTCACATACGTTGGCTGTCTTTATGTGGTCATTTGGCACGGAGAAGAGTTCTCCTTGGA